AGATGTGTATAAGAGATCCTTTGACAGACAGTATATTTCCAACTTTACTCTTTTTACATATGTCTATGCTTAGTCCTACTCCTCTTTTTCTTTTTCCGACCTTTAGCACATTCTCATCTAAGTTTTCAATAAAAAATACAATGGTCCTGCCATCCTGCTAATCTCAATCGGCCGATGGCCAACAAGCTAACCACTACCCACCACCAATTGCATCTGCTATTTTGCTATATGATATTCACGCATTCTTGTCATGAGCTATGTTCTCTGGATGATTGGGCTATCTTTTCCGCCTAAGCACCATTTGTAACGTCTTTAAATAATCTTTTTTCAATCAAAATGTGCCTCTTAAATTTAATAATTTCCCATAAGAACCCCTCGATTTTAATCTATTTCCATAAGCGCCCCCTCAATTTCCATTCTGTTTTCATAAGCTCCCCGTTCGAATAAACGCCCCTGAGAAAGTGCAAAAAATATTTTAAACGCCCGGGTGCTTATTCGCGCGAGTACGGTACGCGAATAACAAAAGTAACAAAGGACAAGAAACTAATACGGACTGTCTGAAGCCGGGCAGTGCTTCCACTGCAAAAGTAGATAGTATAGAAGAGGTACTGAATAGCAGCATCCATCGTAATGGTAAAGAAGACACTCATGTTTCTTAAATAGAGGATGAAAATTGCGAGTTTAATAAATAACAGATGCGTATGTATGAGTGAATCAATAATAATAATAATAATAATAATAATAATAATAATAATAATCTAGGGAACATAACTATTTTACAGATAGACTACACAGTAAAATGAACGTATAAAAAATAAATAAAAGTATGCCTTCACGACAACTTAATAGGCTAGAAAAATCAGATGTATAGTGATGTTGATCTGTCTCTTATACACTTAGGTGATTTTCAAACCGACAAAAGAGTAAGTGAGCGACACCAAGGCACTGATATGCAACAGCCGGTGAGAGTAAATGAGAAATACTCTGAATTGATTCCTTCCGCAGTAAGTTACCTTAAAGAAATTGTTTTGTAAATAGCTCTGATCTTTTAAAATTATAATTGCTTAACTTAAATGAAGGTGCGCTAACATGAACTACGTTCAATTCTTCTTTTCGCTACCACAGGGCTTTCGAAGCCAAATATATAACAGAGACTGTGAAAGATTCAGAAACGGTTATCCTGT